GAAATGCTATGACAAACTGGAGTATGATTTATTCATGTCCCAATAATGATTCATGCTCCAGAAGTCAATGTACCTCGCCAAGGTAATGCCCGGCTCCTTTGTCTTGTCGCCCGAACAAATCCCCAAATCTTGCTCGCAGTTGTCGGCGGCCTGGATGATGTCGTACCATGCTTTTCGGATCTTGAATTTCTCATCTGCACTAAGGCAACTCAAGAACCTCCAGGCATTTTCGACCGGCTCTAAGCAATAGCTCAGAAATTCAACTATTGCCGTGTCAAATGCGAGATCAGGTTTCTCAGGCGCGCATTTGGGATCCTATCATACAATCTTTGGCCTCTGCATCGTTCTTCGGAGGATTGGAAAGTCGAGGAGGAGCATCGATCGCCTGCTGCTTACGTGTATTCTCAAACCATAGAGCCGGAGTACACTTTTCGACGCGGTCTTCAGACGAGTGGTGGTGCGTGAAGTGGTCACCCAGTAGGGACCCGTCATAGTATTGTGTACCGCAGCACAGGTAGGGAAGCGAGAAGAAGTAGCTCGATCCTTTTCGATTTGGGATGGGCTTCACATCATATAGGGTGTCGACCCACTCCACGTTGACTTTTACGCGTGCCTTGGGATTCGATGCAGAGGATGTGGGAATGGAGTTTTCTATTTTGAATATGTATTCCCAAGAGTCACATCGCCAGGGCTGCGATGTTGTTTGTTCATGCCCTCTATCCTTAACGTCGTCGGCCGCTCTCTCTTTTCGCCAGTTAACGCATGGGATCAAGGCCCAACAATTTAGGAATAGGCGTTTGAATGGAGGGTTGATAAGAATACCTTAAGGAAGTTAGAGTCTTCCACGGCCAAGAGCTCACACATACCATCATCCTTCGATGCGTTCGGTTCGATTCCTGGTAGGGGCACGTTTGCCTGGGAGAAATACTGCGGAGGCATACTATAGTATACTCAAACGAAGCAAACAACAGGCAACTAGCGAGTTCGCCGAATAGCGGTGACTGACCGGTCAAAGACTGTGGGACACATATATATCCTGATGTACTCTGTCGCTTTTTCAGTAGTGGTCACAGACGTACTGATCCATGGCTTGGTTTTGGACTTCCCCACGGCATGGCGTTCATCTTCTGAGCAAGTCTGTACTCACATGGACTACCGCACCAGCTCTGGGATGCCGCACACAAGATCCTTGGACTTTTCGGGTCATCGGGAGCCCCCTATATCTCGTTGGCTATAAAGAAGACGGAAATTTTACAGGCCTACGGCGAGCATTGGGAAAGAAATTCGTTAGTCGTCAGGTCGCCACTGCAGCGTGTGTTTTATGTCCCGTATCAAGCAGGCTACAACCTTGCCCCGGCAGCCACCACGGGTATATCACTCTGTCGGTGATCGTGGGGTTTGTCCCCAACCCCTTCCCCCAAGCTGATCTCACATCTCGGTGTCGCCTTCCCCCGCGCTCTTCCCCCGCTTTAGTGCATTACTTGAGCTATGTGCTAACTCTGCGTCATAAAACTCGCCTTGCTGAGACAGGGAAGGAGAGGCGTAAGGTCATCATCAGTTAGGTCGAGCAGTACGTGGCTATGGGTGTTGTACCGACTCCGCGCTAGAAATGTTTAGCTACTAAGAAATGTGAAGTCATCTTAACGTCTTCTACACCGTTGATTGGCTCTATAGGAACCTTGCCCTCCTTACCACCTTCCTTGGCCCCATTGCTGTACATACTTTGTTATTCATCATGTACACATCACGACTATTTATCCGCAGCACGGATAGCACGAAGGCAGTTACGCGCATATGTGCTGCTTCGGAGGAGCGGTCATGCTCTCTGCGACTAACTTGAAAAGGATTATCGAAGCTATATAAGGTGTAGTGCGATATGATCCTGCATTAGTATAGGCCAGGGTAAAGTCGCTCCTGGCAAAAAATTGCTGCCAAGAGTGGCTTTACCCCGGCTGAACAGCTTTAACCGCCTCAATACAACAAAGCTTTTCCTTCTCCTCCTTTAGTCTAATCATGCCGTAAGTGCTACCTTGTGGAACTACCAATACACTCATGACTCCTTACACAATTTCATATTTCTGCAACCGTCATCGACTACAAGCTTACCTTCACTTTTCGAATGCTACAGGAATCACATGCTTTGCGCAG